AAGCAGCTTTAGATCAGTATGCTTATCTCAGCTTTATTGTCAGAAAATGGACTTCATTATAAACCGTTCCAGAATGTAACCTTCTGAAGAAAATCACATTGTCCCAGTCCTGAATCCCTAGACATTCTGCCCCACAAGGTATCCTCTTTCCGGTACCTTGATGCTACTCTGACATCTAAGCGTTCACTTCCTCCTCATATCGAAGCACTTCCCACTGAAATTCGTAAGCCCCTATATAATATACTCGTCGCTTACTTTCCTACCACAAAATGCAAGCCTTAATCTGGTGATTTATAAATGCCTGCATTCTACTCCCTCATTCTCTGCTGCTCTATATTTCTTTTTCCAGCCTTACTTTAAAAAGATTTGCTGATTTTGAAACGTACCTTCTGAATGCTCTCTTCAGCTGCCAATGTTTCTTCTGTTTTTTTATTTATTTTACAGTAAAACACGGCGACACTTTACAACGGTCAAGTAATTCGCTGACCGAATTCTTGACGAGGTTTCCCATCCTCTCCACCCCGAATTAATGGCTAAGAAGTCTTCCCATACTATGCGTCGAGACTTCCAACATATGTCTTGCCGTACATCGGCATATGAGCATTCTGTACTGCCATTCCTAGCACACTAACTCACGCGTAAAGAAGCTGTGAATCCAGAAGCTAAGCTTGGACCTATCTCCATAACAAGCGTGTATTTAACCTAAAACTCTAGATTTTTGCGTAGTTTGTTAATTTATCCCGTGGGCTGAGTGAATGGAACCATTTTTTCTGAACATTTTCGATGCTCCGTTCGACATAGAGCTCATCTCTCTTTCTTTGTTTCTCTCTCTCTCTATCAGCTCACGAAAGTGGAACACGGTCAGAAGGAATAAGAAATTTGTGATTTGCATGACAGCTAAGCTATGTCCACTTCTCATCTGGCGAGGCAAACGAAGACAATACCAAAGACAGTGTTTTCAGAGGCAGGAAATCTACGATGACACCTTCTGAGTGCAAAGGGATGTCACCTTAGTGCAGGGTA